GGACCTCATGCTTGTGAGGCAGGCGCAGGAACCATTGAGCTAAATCCCGACCCTGAATGAAATTTCTATTTTTAGTTTTTGAGGGATCTCCATGCTGATTTCCATAGAGGTTTTACCAGTTTACACTCCCACCAACAATGGAGAAGATTCACCTCTTCCACAACCCTGCCAGCATTTGTTGTTATTTGATTTCTGGATAATAGCCATTCTTTTTGGAGTATGATGGACTCTCACTGTTTTTTGCGTTTCTGTAATGGCCAGAAATGTTGAACTTTTTTTTTTTTCATGTATTTATTGGCCATTTGTACTTTTTTTTCGTACCGGGGATTGAACTCAGGACCTTGCACTTGCGAGACAGGCAGTGGAACCACTGAGCTAAATCCCCAGCCCCAACCATTTGTACTTCTGAGAAGTGTCTATTCATTTCATGAATCAAACAGTTTATCATTTTTTTTTTTTAACATTCAAATTTTTTTCATTTTGTTTTTTGAAATAGGGCCTCACTATGTAGTTCAGGTTGGCTTTAAACTCACTATGTACCCCAGGCTGGCCTTGAACTTGTGATCCTCCTGCCTCAGCCTCCTGAGTGCTGGGATTACAGGTGTGCATCACCATGCCTGGCAATTTTTTTATTTTTTTGGTACCGGAGATTGAACTCAGGACTTTGCACTTTCGAGGCAGGTGAGGGGCCACTGTGCCAAATCTCTGGCACTGTTTTTTGATTTTTTTTTGAGACAGGGTCTTGCCATGTATTCCACACTGGCCTTGAACTCAGTGTACCCCAGACTGACCTGCAGCTCGCAGTGATCCTCATGCCTTACTTAACCTCTGGAGTGCTGGGAATGCTGGGATTCTAGATGTGTACCACCACAACCAGCTCCCAGTTGTCCTTCGTTATTCCTAGTAATATTTGCTCTGAAGTCTTACTTTGTATGATATTACTATAGCCACTCAGTTTTCTTTTGGATAAGTACAGTGGAGCCTTGACTTATGAACTTGATTGGTTTCTGCAGGCTGGTTGCATCTCAAGTTGGTTGTAAGTCAGTACATCTGAGATCTGGATGTTTACCTAGGTACATGCTATAAGTAACGAGACAGATGAATCTTCCATTAACCTAATTAATCCAAGTTGTTCGTATGTCAGGCTGGTTGTAACTTGAGGGTCCACTGTACTGTGGTTTGAATGTATCTCTCAGACTCCTGTGTTGGAAATTTAGTCCCCAGTGCATAGGGTTGGATGGTGGTCCATTTAAGAGATTAGGTCCTGAGGGCATGAATTAAGGCAGTAATTGCAGGAGTAGGTTAATGATCAAAGGAGCCAGTTTTATTTTTTAATTTTTTTGGTATCAGGGTTCGAACTCGGGACCTTGCACTTTCGAGGCAGGCGGTGGAACCACTGAGCTAAATCCCCAGCCCAGGAGCCAGTTTTAAAAGGGTGGATTTGATCCCCTCTCTCTTCTCTCTCTTTTACTCCCTTCTTTTCCTCTCTCCCTTCCCCCTCCCCCAGGTTGGCCTTGAACTTGTGAGCCACCTACTTCAGCCTCTCCTGAGTATCTGGGAACAAGATTTTCTCTTTATCGCTAGTTTTAAGCAATTTGACTCCAATATAACTTGGAGTCATTTTATTTCTGACATTTAGGGCTCATTGAGCTCCTTGGATTTGTGGGTTTTTTATAGTTTTTCATCAAGTTTGCAAGGATTTCTTTCAAATATTCTGTCTGTTCCCTTTCTTTTTTTTTTTTTTTTTGGTACCTGGGATCAAGCTCAGGTCCTTGTGCTTGCGCAGCAGGCGTTGAAACCACTGAGCTAAATCCTCCGCCTGTTCCCCTTTCTAATCCCATTATGTTAGGGAGTGTCAAGTTGTCCTGTGAATTACTGGTGCTCTGCTCACTCTTTGTAGCCCTTTTACTTTCTGTGTTTGAATTTGGGAAGTTTCTGTTACATCTTCCAGTCACTATAATCTTTTCTTTTTTTTTTTGGTACCAGGGATCGAACTCGGGTCCTTGCGCTTGTGAGGCAGGCGATGGAACCACTGAGCTAAATCCCAGGCCCACTGATCTTTTCTTTTACAAAATGAAATCTGTGAATCTTCTGCAGTGACGTTTTCATCTCAGGCAGTCTTCATCTCTAGGTAGTAGGTTTGTTTCTTTTTCTATCTTCATATCTCTGCTTAATGTGTTTGACTTTTCCTTTAATTTCTTGAACATTTACAATATAGTTGTAACAACGTTTAATGTCTGTTCTATCATTTGTACCATTTCTGGTCAATTGATTGATTTTTCTCATTAATTTTTTTTTTTGGTACAGGGATCAAACTCAGGTCCTTGAGCTTGCGTAGCAGGCGGCAAAACCACTGAGCTAAATCCCCAGCCCATTTCTCACTACTTTTTAATCTCCCCTCCCCTTCTCAGGTGCTCTAACCAAGCAGTTAAATCCAGCCCCTATAACTCCTTCTTGGCCAAAGGCCTTTATAAAATAGCAGTGTGACTAGTCAAGGTTTTATATACATACATGTAGAAAGTTTTTTGAAGTGCTGGGGATTAAACCTAGGCCTTGTGCCTGCAAAGTCTGTGCTTTCCCACCAACCCCTGCCCCGCCCCGCCCAGTGCTATACAAAGTTTGTCTTCAGGTTCTATTGATTTCATTTCCTGTAACATTAGAAGTGGTGGAGGGAAGGAACATGAAAGAAACAGTTCTCCTGTGGCTTTTGCTCCCTTGTTCATCTGGAAAGTCTTCCTTTCTTAGACTGGAGGACCTTGCAAGGAGAAGGGCATGCTGTTGGGGCTGTGCCTTCCACCTGACCCTGCTCACAGGCACTCTTCTACACAAGGCTCACATTGCCCTGGGAGTCTGCTCTTAAGGGGCTGGTATTTGGAGTGTGGGGCTCAGCTGCAGGTTGTGCTTCCTACTTGCTTAGGTGAGTTCCATTTCCTTGATAAATTAACGATTGGGCTTAATTACTTAGAGTAGTGATGAAATAGGACTCAGTTGGAAAAATAGTTCCCTTCCCCCCTCACGTTAAGTGGAATGATTCTGGAAGGAGGATAGTCGAGGGAGCAAACACAGTAGCACGCTATATAGCTGGTTTCTAGTTCTTTTGTCATCACACTGGTGTACAGGGTGTATTCCTCACACTCTGTCCATTGGTTCTGAAGTTACCTCTTTATTAGAAGGCACCTCGGGTCGAGTCTGTGGACTGTTTCTTAAAGAGCTAGAGAGTAACTATTAGTTAGGCCATATAGTTTCTCTTGTGTTCAATTAGCACTGCTTTTGTAGCTTGAAAGCATCCACAAGCAATACATTTTTCTCATAAAACTATATTTAAAAACTGTTTAAGGGCTGGGGATGTAGTCATGGTAGAGCCCATGCCTAACATGTGTGAGGCCCTGGGTTCCATCCCTAGCACTGCAAAAAAAAAAAAAGCTAACCCGTGGGCTGTAGCTTACCGACTCCTGCCTCAGTTCAAGCCTGTACTTTGCTGAATGTTTAGTATTTTCTTCTCATCCCTGTATTGTAATTGCTCCCTAGAAACCTTTGCCAGCTTTACCTTGTTTAAACATACATCTCATGTTACTAGCTTAGTAAGTACTGGCTCCCTGCAACCTACCAGATAAGGTCAGAATTCCCTTATCCTCAAAGCTTCCACAACCTGATCCTTCTTGGGGGTTTTTTTTGTTTGTTTTTCTTTTGTACCGGGGATCGAACTTGGATCTTTGTGCTTGTGAGGTAGGCAGAACCACTGAGCTAAATCCCCATCCCCTTTTTGTGTTTTGTGTTTTGTTTTTTTTTTTGGTACCAGGGATTGAACTCGGGTTCTTGTGATTTCGAGGCAGGCATCAGAACCACTGAGCTAAATCCCGGCCCCCCTTTTTGTATTTTTGATCTTAACTGCAGGGATTCCCCATCTGGCAGCCCCTACATGGTCTACTCAACCTGCCCTCCATTCCCTGATATTTCCTTGAGCCCTGCTTTTCCTGGAGTGTTGTTCCTGTTGCATCACATGTCCTTCTGAAACAACTTGGTTCAAATCTCATCTTTTTCTTTTCTTTTCACCATGTAGCCCAGGCTGACCTCAAACTTGGAGTGATCCTCCTGCCTCAGCCTTCTGATTGCTTGGAGTACAGGTGTATGCCACCACACCTGGAAAATTCCACCTTCTTTAAGAAGTATTCTAGGGCCTGTTGGTTGAGAAAGTGTTGCCCTCCTTTCACTGTTTTGTCATGCTGTTTGAACAGCTCTAGTGGTGGCTGCCTCCATTTGCTGTCAGAAACCTCTGTGTCTGTGTGTACATATGTCTGTCTTATTTACCCAGAATCCCTTAAGAGGTGAGCAGTGAGTCCTCTCTCATCTCTGTCTCTGTAGTCTGGCACAGAGCTGTATCATGTGTTAGCCAGCTTCACATCACTACGGTGAAATATCTGACTAAGGCCACTCAAGAGATAAAGAGAGATTTATTTTCGGTCATGGTTCTGGAGGTTCAAGTCCAAGATCAGGTTACTTGACTGATTTGAGCCTCTGGAGAGGGTAGCACATCATGGTGGGCATGTCTACAGTGAGTGCTCACATCATGAGTCAGGATGCTTGGAAGAGGGTCTGGTGGGGCCAGCAGTCTCTTTCGAGGGCATGCCCCAGTGACCCAAGGACCTTCCATGAGCCCCTACCTCCAAAGCACCTCTTGGTAAGGCCATCCTTGGGATGGAGCCTTCAGCACCTGGCCCTTGGGGGTCACTCAACATACAAATGATAGCAAGAGCCAAACTCACAGTATGTGTTTGAAGTGATGCAGAATTTATTGTCTTGGAATAAGTATTACTATATCCACTGCTGCAGCATTGTAACAGTTCCTGGTTACTCCTTTGGGAATATGTTTTCTAGGCCTTCTGAAAGAGGCAGGCTGTGTGTAGTTGCCTTGTCTGTGGGCTCATTGGTGGCGGGGCTTTGCCAGTCCAGGTCTCCACTCTTGCTGCTGCCTCAACGAATTCTTGCCTTTGCTTCCACAGAGCTTCGGTGTAACCCTGGGCAGTTTGCCTGTCGCAGTGGTGCCATCCAGTGCATCCCCCTCTCTTGGCAGTGTGACGGCTGGGCGACTTGTGAGGATGAGAGTGATGAAGTCAACTGTCCAGGTGAGGGAGTGTGTTGAGCAGGTGGGTGTACACAACCCGCCTCCTGGTAGTTGGTTAAGCATGCCTCCCATGAGGGGTGGAAAGGTTTAGCCTGGTGATCTCTGCTGTCTCCATACATTTGAAAGATAGAGTGATCTGACTTCTTGCCTGGCTTTCTCTGTCTTTCTAAAAAACAAGTGCTTAGCCAGGCATGGTGGTGTACAACTGTAATCCTAACCCTCAGGAGGCTGAAGCCGAAGGATTGTCATGAGTTCATAGGCAGCCTGGGATACATAGTGAGTTCAAGGACAGCCTGAACTACATAGGGAGACCCAGGCTTAATGGGCATGCTTAAGCCAGCCATGGTGATGCACAGCTGTAATCCCAACACTCTGGGAGACTGAAGCAGGAAGATCACAAGTTTGGATCCAACCTGGGCAACTTAGTGACTTAACCCTGTCTCAAAATAAAAATAAATAAGGGCTGGGAAGGTAGCTCAGTGCAAAGGCTTTGAGTTCAATCCCAGTACTGGGAGGAAAAAAAAGAAAGTTCCTGACATTGACAGAACCCAGAACTTTGGAGATGGCAGGGCAGGAGTTGTGAGGAGGCAAGTGAGGTGCTGCTGGCCCTGGACTTGTGTGACTCCTGAGGGAGAGCTCTCACTACCTCTCTGGCATCACCTCAGTGTGGCTCTGGATGTAGGTGCCTCTTGAGACTTGGCCAGAGTCCTGACAAGTGTGTTACTTTGCGTCATGTACCCGTCTTGCCACTTACTTGCTGGTGCTCTGGCATTCAGGGTTTTCTTCAGGTGATGTGTAGGTGCCTAGAGGTATATGGAGAGGATGCAAAAAGTTTAAATTGTTGGTCCTGCACCTGATTTTTTTCCTAGTACCCTTGAGGAGTGTAAGGCACCCCATTAGTGGCAGTGGTCATTCGGCCAGCTGCTCTCAGCTTGGGTTGGGTGGAAGAAATAGCATCTTGTGTGTACATATGGATGTGTGGACATGTGTGCGATTGATGTGGTTCTGACAAAGCTCCTAAAAGGAAAGTATATTTTACTTCAGCTCCAGAACCAAAGACCTGAACTTTTTGGCCTAATATTCAAACTACTTCTAGCTGGGCATGGTGGTACAGGCCTGTAATCCCAGCTACTCCAGAGGCTGAAGCAGGAGGATCTCAAACCTATCCTAGACGACTTAGTACGACCTTGTCTCAAAAAAATAGAAAGGGCTGGGGATGTAGCTCAGTGTGAAGGCTTTGGCTTCAGTCCCTAGTAGTGTAAAACAAAAACAAATTCCTTCAGTGTCTGGCATAATTCTTTTTGTGGGGGGATGTTTTGAGACAGGGTCTCCCTGCTGCGTAGTGTAGAGTGGCCTTGAACTCACTATGTAGCCCAGGCTGGCCTCAAACTTGCAGTGATCCTCCTGCCTCAGCCTCCCAGGTGCTCGGATCACAGCCATGTGCCACCATGCCCAGCTGTCTGGCTCAGTTCTTTTTTGTTAGCCTGATTTTACTGCTATTTTCCCTCCAGTGGCTCAGCTGAACTGTTTACTGTGCGCGCTCCATTAATTTCCTAGCTGCATGCTTGCTTTATTTCTTTCTATTTTTCTGGAATTCCCTTGTTCTGCTACTGTTTGGACAAACTCTGCCATCTTTGAAAGCTTGGCTTAGATGGGTCTTTCTCCCTCTACCAACACCTTGTCTGTTTTTCCCTTACAGCATCTAGAACCACTGGTAATTCTCAACATTCCTGGGGCCTATGCTTGATTTCTCTCTTCAGACCATGAGCTCCCTAGTGCAGGAGGCCTTTCCTTGTTCTTAGTGGAACCTGGCCTCTGACATGAAAGGTGTGCTGTAATTCATAGAGGCCAAGTGTTGAAGGAAAATGGATTCACTCCAACCAGGAGCTTTAGGGGGCCACATCCAGCAGAAGGTAACAGTTGAGTGTTCACAGTTATTTTACCAGGTTCCAAAATAAGCAGGGGCAGGTGCAGTAGCACATACCTGTAGTCTCAACTACTGGGGAGGTTGAGGCAGGAGAATCACTTGAGCCCAGGAATTTGAGGTAAGCCTGGGCAGCATGGCAAGTCTTGTCTCAAAAAAAAAGAAGAAAAGAAAAGCAGAGATGATCTTGTTGGATTATATTGAATGCAGTTTAGAGGGGACTGCTCCTGATCATCCCTTGAGCCATTCTTCATGGGATCATGCATATCGGGTGTAGAAGTGTTGACCTTTCTATAGGGAAGTTTGAATGATGGAAGCCTCTTCAGGATCTTCTGGGACCAGCTTGTGTCTGCAGCCCACCTAGATGTTCATTGGGCCAAAGTCCAGAGAATGTACAGTACTTGCCAGCACTTGGAACACAGGTGCTCTGTGGTTGGTCATCATCGTCAGTACTACGTGGTCATGAGTGGGAACCTTTCCTGGACTGCTCACAGAGTGAGAACTAATACCCAGCCGCTTGGAGAATTTTCTGAAGAAAGAACTAAATGGTTCTTGGCTATCAAATGGGAACATAGCATTTTTGCTTTTCTGTAAGTGGCATTTGGCCTCAGGTTTCAGGTTGTGGGTAATGACAGATACTGCTGCGGACACTGAGTCAGCCACACTTGTGTTTGTCCTCTTTTCCATGCACCATGGACTTTTTGAAGGGTAGGGCTAGGTCTGATTTCTCCTTCAGACCACATAGGTTGGCAGAGAGGAAGCCTCAGCTCTTGAGTAGGCCTGAAGTTACATAGCTTGCTGCATTTTCCCCCCAGATTGAAAAATAAAATGTATCACATGGAAGCCAAGAGTTTTGAGTGGGTAGTCTGCTCTAGGATCCAAGCATTGAAGACATGACACCTAGGACCAGCCAGTATGGACAGACTCATTGAGGATGACAGGGCAGCTGAGAAGACCACGACCATTTCAGATCTCACCTGGCTTCCCCCTGCCTTGTGTTCCTGTGTCTGAGCTTGTGTATAGTAGATTGATTTCTCATGGTTCTTCATGCTGGGATTCTGACAAATTTAAGTTATAAAAATACACAAAGAATAATACAATACTTGTTTTCTTACTTCCCTGAATTAATAACTGCAGAGTTTTTTCTTTTCTTTTCTTTTTTTTTTGTTTTTTTCCAGGCTGGCCTGGAACTTGCCATGTAGTTCAGGCTGGTCTGGAACTCATAGTAATCCTATGCCTCAGCCTTCTGAATTATAGAAGTGCACCACCATGCCTGTTGTTTTCAAGTATATTTAAGAAAAAATTTTAAAAGTACGTTACGGATTTGAAGTCAAGACCTCAAAAACTCCTCTATCCCACTGAAAAAAAGAAAGTTCGTGTGTGGAAGGTAGTGGGAGGCTAGTGGATAACCACTTCTGCTCTAAAAGCTATGGGTTTCTATATATGGGGAAAGTTTAACCCTGTGGAAAGCCCTAGCCAGCCTCAATCTAGTTGTTTTTTTAATAGAGGCTCTGGGACTTTCTGAGTGACCACAGGAGGTTATTTTACTGCCCTGCTAAAAGTATATGAAGATATAAAACCACAGGGACAAAGAAAATGAGAAAAGATGAGTCATTTCAGTAACAAGAGATAAGTTGCTTCAGCATGTTTTTGGAAGATGGGAAATGGGTGTTGTGCTGCATAAAGTTGGGACCCTCAGTACTTCCTCATTCCCTTCCAGGATCTTTTCGGATGTCAGAGGCTGGAAGGGTACAGCCATAGCACTTAGACCGAGCTAGGGGGCTTATTGATATCTCTGAGCCTATGAGATGCAGCTCAGGAAATGTGGAAAGAGGAAAAGGGGTAGAAAGCTTTCTTCTCTTGGCAGTGATGTGGGAACATGGGCTTAGGGAAAATGTCCCTCCTAACCTGCTAGATATCAGATGTGCCGAGTTTGTGTCCCCTGAAATTGAAGAATGAATTCTAAGGAACAGCGGAGATTAACAGTAGGAAAAATGTATTGAGAGAGAGCTCCTGAGAGATAGGAGGGAACTTGAAAGTGGGTTACCATAGAGCCCCACTTCTCTGAGGATGTTTTATAGAGCAAAATCACAAAGTAGGTACCATGTGGGTCAAACTGTGATCAACCAATAAGATTCTAAGTATAGCTGCTTAGGTAATATTGATCCAGTCTTGGAAGCCGGTCTTGTAGCCAGGGTACATGGAAAGAACAAAAGCATTTTTAGGAAGGAATGAGTAACCTGGGTGACTGATTCCTATCTAGACTTTATTGGACCAACTGATACCAGTTATCACCTTAAATTAATTGTTTATCCCTCAGGGAAGCATGCAGGCCTCCTCATTTCATCTGTATCTTGAGGCCTAGCCTTCGATAGATGCGCATCCAGCCACGGTTATAATGTGTTCTCATCTTTTACACTGTTCCCCTCAAGGACCTAGCCCTGTCTGATTGCCTATAGTATTTCTACCTAACTTAGCTGTCTATATAATAAGATCAGGGTAAGTTTTTGCAGTGGCTTTGACATTGTCCCAGTGGTCTGCTGTCTCAGGGCTGCTGAGCACCTGTGATATTGGCAGTAGTTTTCTGCACTTTCCTAACCTACAGATGGCAATAGTAGCTTTCTGAATCCTGACTACCAACTGTGGGAGTGCAGTGGAAGGTTAGAGGTGGCCCACTCTAGTCTTTCCACCTATTTTGAAAGCATCTAATTCCTTGTAGTAAACCCCTTTGTGTTTGAAATACCCAGTAGCATGGTTTCTGTTTTTCTGATACAAATAAGAATTAATATCTATAAATTTGTTGTTTGGTGCTGAGGATTGAACCCAGGGCCTCAGGCATGCTAAGCATAGCTCTACCATTGAGCTTCACCCCCCCAGCCTAATATGTGTGTGTGTGTGTGTGTGTGTGTGTGCGCGTGTGTGTGTGTGTTGGACCCAGGACCTTGTTTGTGATAGGCAGTTACTGTACCCCTTAGGTACAACTCCAGTCCCTAGCCTAAAGTTTTTAAAGGAGAAAAATTTACAATCTTAAGAGACATTAAGGAAAACTAAAATAAAGAGGGAATGTTACTGGCTAG